CCCTTTTTTTTTTTTGAGACCTAGTCTCACTTTGTCTCCTAGGCTGGAGTGCAGTGGCACAATCCCAGCTCACTGCAACCTCTGCCTCCTGGGTTCAAGCAATTCTCCTGCCTCAGCCTCCCAAGTAGCTGGGATTACAGGCACGTGCCACCATGCCCAGCTAATTTTGTATATTTAGTAGAGATGGGGTTTCACCATGTTAGCCAGGCTGATCTCGAACTCCTGACCTCTGGTGATCTGCCCACCTTGGCCTCCCAAAGTCCTGGGATTACAGGCATGAGCCACCACGCCTGGCCTCTGACTCTTATCATCATCTTTTTTCTCACTCCCATCTATCCTGCATGGTACTCCCATTCTAGTTTTCTTGAAACTGGTTTTTATCCTCCCATGCATTGCTCAAGAATCTTCAATGGCTCCCTGTGGCCCATTTAATTGCCTACATAGACTCTCCTCCACTTCTTTCAAATACCACCAGCTTCAGAGTCTTTCCAGAACCATGATGATATACTGTGACCATCCCCAGGGTTCCCACACTATACTGTTGATACAGGTTGAGCATCCCAAATACGAATGCTCCAGAATCCTAAACGTTTTGAGTGCCAACATGACACTCAAAGGAAGTGCTCATTGGAACATTTCAAGTTTCAGATTTTCAAATGTGGGATGCTCAACCAGTAAGTATAATGCAAATATTCCAAAGTCCAAAAAAATCCAAAATCTAAAACCCTTCTGGTCCCCAGCATTTCAGATAAGGGCTACTCAATCTGTACTTCTAGAACAGTGTTGTCCAATAGAAATATAATGCAAGTCACAGATGCAATTTTTTTTTTTTTTTTTGAGACAGAGTCTTGCTCTGTCACCCAGGCTGGAGTGGCAGTGGCACAATCTTGGCTCACTGCAACTTCCACCTCCTGGGTTTAAGTGATTCTACTGCCTCAGCCTCCTGAGTAGCTTAGATTACAGGCACCCACCACCACGCCTGGCTAATTTTTGCATTTTCAGTAGAGACGGGGTTTCACCATGTTGGCCAGGCTGGTCTGGAACTTCTAACCCTAAGTGATCTGCCTGCCTTGGCCTCCCAAAGTGCTGAGATTACAGGTGTGAGCCACCATACCCAGCCCACAAATGTAATTTTAAATCACCCAACAGCCATATTTCAAAAGGTAAAAAGTAAACAGGTGAAATTAATTTTAATGTTTTATTTAACCTAACATATGCAAAATACTATCATTTCAACAGGTAATCAATATAAAAGTTATTGAGACATTTTATGGCTCTTTTAAATTTTTAATTATTATTATTTTTTAATAGAGACAGGGTCTCTGTCACCCAGGCTGCAGTGCAGTGGCATGATCATAGCTCGGTACAGCCTCAAAGTCCTGGGCTCAAGCAATCCTTCACGTCAGCCTCCTCGAGTAGCTGGGACTACAAGTATGCACCACCATGCCTGGCTAATTTTTATTTTATTTTATTATTTTATTTTATTTTATTTATTTTTTTATGTAGAGGAGGTCCCACCATCTTGCCCAGGCTGGTCTCAAACTCCTGGGCTCAAGTCATCCTGCTGCACTGGCCTCCCAAAGTGTTGGGATTACAGCCATGAACCACTGCATCTGGCCTGTCTCTTTTTTAAAAACAAGCCTTTGGCCAAATGCAGTGGCTCATGACTTAATCCCAGCACCTTGGGAGGCTGAGGTGGGTGGATCACTTGAGGCAGGAAGTTCGAGACCAGCCTGGCCAACATGGTGAAACCCCATCTCTCATGAAAATACAAAAACAGACGTGGTGCACAGCTACTTGAGAGGCTACTTGGGAGGTCAAGGCGGGAGAATCTCTTGAACCTGGGAGATGGAGGTTGTAGTGAGTGGAGATCGCATCACCATGCTCCAGCCTGGGCGATAGAGCAAGACTCCGTCTCAAAACAACAACAAAAACAACAACACAAATCCAGTGTGGACTTTACACTTACAGCACATCTCAGTTCAAACCAGCTACACTCCAGGTCTGAATTCAGCCTACTAGCAGCATATGGCTGCTGGGGACCCCATTGGACAGCATAGTTCCAGAGACTGTAAGCCTGAGTTTGGATTCCTGAGCAGTTGTCTCATATTCCAGCTATCTTAACAGCGCAAGTTATTCAGTTTATAGGTTGAAGTGTGTCCTGCTCTCTCAAATTCATATGTTAAAATCCTAACCCCCAATACCTCAGATTGTGATTTATTTGGAAACAAGGTTGTTGCAGATAGAATTAGTTCAGGTAGGATGACGTCACACTGGAGTAGGGTGGGCTCATAATCCAATATGATTGGTGTCCTTTGAAAAAGAGGAAGTTGGCCAGGCATGGTGATTCATGCCTGTAATCCCAGCACTTTGGGAGGCCAAGGCGGGCAGATCACCTGAGGTCGGTAGTTCAAGACCAGCCTGGGCAACACGGCAAAACCCTGTCTCTACTAAAAAATACAAAAATTAGCCAGGCATGGTGGCAGATGCCTGTACTACAACTCGGGAGGCTGAGGCAGGAAAATCGCTTGAACCCAAGAGGTGGAGATTGCAGTGAGCCGAGATCGTGCCACTGCAGTCCAGCCTGGGCAACAGAGTGACTGTCTCAAAAAAAAAAAAAAGAGGAAGATAACCAGGTGCGGTGGCTCATGCCTGTCATCCCAGCACTTTGGGAGGCCAAGGCAGGTGGATTGCTTCAGACCAGCCTGGCCAACATGGTGAAACCCTATCTCTACTAAAAATACAAAAATTAGCTGGGTGTGGTGGCTCGCGCCTGTAGTCCCAGCTACTCAGGAGGCTGAGGCAGGAGAATCACTTGAGCCTGGGAGGCAGAGGTTGCAGTGAGCCGATATCCTGCCACTGCACTCCAGCTTGGGCAACAGAGCGAGATTCCGTCTCAAAAATAAAAAATAAAAATAAAAAGAGGAAGTTTAGAGACACACAGAGAGAATGCCATGTGAACATAAAGGCAGAGATCTGGGTGAGGCATCTATAAGCCAAGGTACCCCAAAGCTTGCCAACAACCCCCAGAATCTGGGAGAGAGGCAGGGAACAGATTCCCACTCACAACCTTCAGAAGGAACTAACCTGGCCGACACTTGGATATCAGACTGCAGCCTCCAGAACCCAGAGACAGAACATTCCTGTTGTTTAAGCCACCCAGTGTGTGGTGCTTTGCTATGGCAGCCCTAACAAACTAATAATCAAGCGAGCCCCAGTTTCCTCATCTGTAATATGGGGATAATAAGGTAAACAATCATGGCCAGATGCGGTGGCTCATGCCTGGGACTTTGAGAGGCCGAGGTGGGCGGAGCACCTGAGGTCAGGAGTTTGAGCGAGACCAGCCTGGCCAACATGGTGAAGCTCCATCTCTACCAAAAATACAAAAAAAAAATTAGCCAGGCGTGGTGGTGGGTGCCTGTAGTCCCAGCTACTTGGGAGGCTGAGGCAGGAGAATCACTTGAATCTTGGAGGCAAAGGTTGCAGAGAGCCAAGATCGCGTCACTGCACTCCAGCCTGGGTGACAGAGTGAGACTCCGGTTAAAAAAATAATAATAAAACAGACAAACAATAAAACAATCATAATAGCTAACTTTTTTTTTTTTTCCCCTGGCTCTGTTGCCCAGGCTGGAGTGCAGTGGTGCCATCTTGGCTCACTGTAGCCTTGACCTTCTGAGCTCAAGCAATCCCAGCTGCTGGAGTAGCTGTGACCACGGGCATGTGCCACCATGCCCAGCTAATTTTTGTGGTTTTTGTTTTTGTTTTTTGTAGAGATGGGGTTTCTCCATGTTGCCCAGGCTGGTCTTGAACTCCTGAACTCAAGTCACCCACCCGCCTCCATCTCCCACCGTGCTGGGATTATAGACGTGAGCCACTGCACCCAGCCAATAGCTAACATGTTTTTGAGTACTTATTTAGGTACTCTCGCTAGACCCTTTCTCAATCCTCACAATAACCCAACGAAGTTGCTACTACTATTATCCTTCTTTTCTTTCACTAGGTGCAAAGAGGTTGAGTAACTTGCCAATGGTACCTTAGCTGTTAAGTAATGGGAGCTGAGATTGAAACTGACCCTCTTAAGTCTGCGTTAACAGTTTCTGAGAACCCGCCTGGCAGGGCTGTTTGTGAGAAGTGAATGAGCTCAGGAATGGCCAGTGCTTAGGGGAGCAGCCAGTGCATAGTGAGTGCTCAGTCAATAGTAGCTATTGTTGTCATTTCATCCCCAGCACCTGGAGCCTGGCACCGGTTGGGTGTGTGCTGCTGAGAGGAACCTGTATTCTTCTTGGACTTCCTCAAACCCCACCATGGCGTCTAGAAACTGACGAGCTCGCCTGCCCTTCTGAGATTTCCCAGGGGTGGCTAACCCTGTTGACGCCTTTTAAGTTTTGCTTTCCACTTAGTAATTCAGAGAAACAGAAAGTAAGACCTGGAGATGATCTCACAATCAGCTAAGAGCAAGACTGTAGGAAATCCCTGGACCACAAACTCAGGATTCAAACTGAGCAGACAGCCTACTCTGGGTCAGAATGCTAGCCTGGGAGCAAGGTCCACCCTCAGCCCAAGAGGCTCAGCCGGTTCTCCAGGACTGGGAGGGCCAAAGCCTCTGGCCGGGGCCTCAGCCAAGAATCCTCTCATTTCCCCACAGGTCTCACCAGTGGCAACCTGGGGTAGAGGGAAGAATGGGGAATGTAGACCCCAAGTCACTCAGTTTGGGACTAAGTGAGTCAGATGGGACTCAGTTTCCCCCATTTTAAGACCGGCAAGTTGGACCAGATCCAGATAGATGCCCCAAAGGCAGCTCCCAGATGTGAGTTTATGGTTCTCTGAAGACAGGAAGCCTTCTCCAGGATGTGATGGAGACACCACCAGCTTTCTCCCAGCAGCAGTGTGGGAAATCTTACAAGCGGGGTCACAGGTCACAGATAGGCACCGGGGGAAGGGGCCAGGGAAGTGGGAGAGGGGTGGTTTCCGTAGTCCCTGCTGGCCTGGCCTTCACTCACCTCCAGCCTGGCCACGGCAAATGGAGTGGCCCCCACCATGTGCTGAGGGGTGACCCCGCTGACCCGTGTTCTGTAATCGGTGATCTCTCCCTCAGGCCGGATGAACTTGTCGTACAGCACAGCACCGTGGACGTTCACGAGGCTGCAACGAGCCAGGCCGCTTTCCCGGTGGGGCCCCATCCCCACCATCTCGCAGTCCATGGCCACCACCTCACGGCTCCCAGCCATGTTCCTTGGGGACCCTCAGAGATGCTGGAGAGAGGGGTATGGGGGGCGGTCTCACGCTTGGGCAAACCAAGCCTCCAGGTGTCCTCAGCCAACCCCAGCTGGCCTTACCCTCCACCCTGCCCTTTGTGTCCAACACCACCTGGCCACAGTGGAAGCTGGCCTCTTGCCTTCCCCCTCCCCCTGCCTTACCCTGCCCGTGGGTCCCAGGGCCTCTGCCCAGCAGCCTGGGGACCGGGAAGTCCCCTCCCGCGGCCTCCCCAGCTGCTGCTCCAGCTCCCGCTCTCACCTGCCTGCCTCTGCGCCCTCAGCTCACGTCTGCCTCTCTGCTGCCACTGCTCAGCTACTGCAGCTGCTCTCAGCAGTGACTCATCTCTAACTCCAAGCCGGCATCCCGACCCTGTTTCAGTTTCTGGTTTGTTATCAAGTGAAGTCAGGGGCGGAAGGCCGGGCACGTGGGCTGGGCTGCTCCATCTCCTGGGCTACCGGCAGGTGGGGAGCTCAGCTCCGGGCCGGGCCGAGTCAGGGCTGACGGAGCTGGCAGACTCCATGTCAGGGTGCCCCTCCTTTGCCCCGGCCCTCCCCCTCCTCAGATGACGCATCTGACGTTCGTTCATTCGTGGAGTGGATTGCAACATCTTTGTTTCCTTTCTCACCCTCCACCCAGAGAATAAACATCCCCAGGACTGGAGCTCAGGGAATGTCCCACAACTAAGTTCTGGGGCCTGCTACCAGTCTGATACTCAGTGGTCTCTTATGGGGACAGGGAAGCTGGTTCTTGGGACATACAGGCTTTTATTGGAATGGGCAGGAGAAAGTTGTGGTGGGGGTGGCTAGCCCCCACTTCCAACCCAGGGAAGGCAAGGAGCAGAGAGGGAGCCCTTATAGGCCTCCGTGGGCTCCGGATGCCTCAATGAGCTCTGCCTCCAGTGGGGCTGACACTGTGAGGGTGAAGAAGCAGGCCTTGGGGGAGCCCCCACCAGCCAGGGCACGCTTCCCTGGGTCCACACTTTCCCAGGCTAGGACTTTGAGCTATCAGAACAGTGCCTGCCAGATAGGGAGGGCTCGGTATTTAGTGAATGACAAATGAGTTACAACTGGGGCAGAAAGAAAATCAGCTTCCAATGAGGAAAGTGCTTGTCTTTTACTGTGGTGAGATCCAACAAGAAGCTGAGCGTTTTCCACGCTTGCCTCCTACCCCAGATCTGTGCAGAATCTACATTGATCCCTCCAACCTGATTGCCTCCCAGTGTCATGAAGATCTGTGGTTTGAAAAGTAACTTCCCTAGGTCTGTGATATTTTCAGCAAGTGGGATTTGGACACCCAACTTTAACAGACCTCAAAAATAAAACCAAAGACTGAAATATGTCTTCATAAGAAAGCATTGCTCCTGCTTATTGTTCACTGGATGCAAATTTGAGGTGTTTGAGGATTTTTGGTTCCCATCCTGAATAAGCAACTTTTGCTTTACTTCAGACTGTGTGGGGACTTTTTGCTTTTCAAATGCATAAAAGTTATCCTGATTTAGGAGGAAATGAAGTAACATTCCTGTTACTTTATAGGAACATGTACTTAAAAAGTAACCCCCTAAAGATCCAATTGTAGGTTTGATTCTACAATCCCCACAGGACCCCCAGGTGCCCTGTGGTGATCCTCAGGAACATCTTGGCTGCAACCCCTCACACCTTCACCCCCGCTCACCTCCTTGGGTCTCAGACAGAGCACATCCCACTCCTCCAATATTTTCCCCATGCATCTGTGCCTGCTCTGTGTGACCTGAGCTGCCTCTTATTCTTACCCTTTCCTGTGGAAGCCCTACCCTAGTCCTCACCTGCCTGGCCCGTGTGGCTGCAGGAGTTGCTCCCGGGTCTCCCACCTCCATCTTCATGCCCTGCTCAAAATGGTCCTTTGAGTCCTACCATATTACATTTCCCAGAATCTAATCTCTTGTACTGTTCATGATTGAGGCACTGCTCAAGAAATTTAGTGATTTCCTGTTGTCCAAAAAAAAAAAAAAATCAAATCTCAACTCCGACAGTTTCCAGAACCTCTTCCATCAGCCCACCAGCCTTGCCAACCTCATCTTGCATCACTATCCAATCTAAGGCCTTTCTTTTAGGTTTAAACCCACATTCAGGGCTTTGGTTTATGCACATGGTGACTTCTGTCAAACTATCAGCAGGCTGTTCTGAAACCCCCTGCATCTCCCAAGGACTAGGTCTGATGGCCAGAGGGACCAGTAAGATCGGGTTTCTGCTTCAGGTGGACGAGACAGGCAGTGCTACAAAGGTAAGCCCCTCTCCTGTGCCCTTACCACTCCCACCTCCCCTACTTCCTTCCAACCACACTGGCTCTTTCTGTCTTCCTCCAACATTCTGGTCATGCTCCTGTCTCAAGGCCCGGGCATTTGCTGTCCCCTTACTCCTGAAAGGTCTTCCAATGTGGCCTGGGGGGTCACATTGCTCCCATTCCATGACGTCTTTCCATGAAGCTATCCCTGACCTCTCTATTTAAAACCGCACTTCCTGCCAGGGCGATGGGTAGTATCTATAATCCCAGTTACTCTAGGCTGAGGCGGATTTGCTTGAGGCCAGGAATACGAGACCAGCCTGAGCAACACAGGGAGATCTCATCTCTAAAATGAAAAAATAATCCATTGTGGTGACTCACACCTGTAGTCCTAGCTTCTCCAGAAACTAAGCTGGGAGGATCAATTGCACCCAGGAGTTTGAGTTTGAGGTTATGACAGTGCCAATACACTCCAGCCTGGACGGTATAGGGGGCCCTTGTCTTTAAAAACTAAGTTTACTTCCTATCCCCCTTCTCTGGCCTTTTCCTGTGGGAATTAGCACCCTCTGAAACACTATTTTACTTGTTCATTTGCTGTTCCCCCTGCCATCTGTTTAGTCCAATGCTGGGCCCCCAGCACCTAGAACCCTGCCTGGGTCCCAGCTGAACTGTTTTTCAAGTGTATTGTGTGCTCTGATGTTGGACGCCACGCACCGGTGGCTCAGCACCTAGAAAGAAGCCTGACCCCAGTCAGGATTTCCCGGTGCTGATGCTCTACCTTTAACTGGCATCACCCACTGGCAGGCTACGCCCACAGATCTTGTTGGATCAGGTGACAGCAGGTGAGTCGCTCAGGGCAAACTTGTCAGCCTTTCAAGACACACATCCAGCTACAGCTGACTACCTGTAATGGCCATAACAGGTGCAAGTCGGCCACTCTGTGGTCCTCTCTGGATCCGCAAGCACTGGCCTGGCCTCAGGCTGAGATAACTCATACTGGAGGGCGAGAGGCACCTCTCCCCACAGGGGACATGCTCTCCCAGCCCAGCCATCTCCAGTCCTGCTGGGTATGTACCCCTAAAATGTGTATGTGTATTCCTAAATTGTGGTTGGCCCTTGAACAACATGGGCTTGAACTGCACGGGTCCACTGATGTGCAGATTTTTTTTCAATAAATATATTGGAAATTTGGGGAGAGATTTTTCAACAATTTGAAAAAACTCAGATGAATTGCATAGCCTAGAAATATCAAAGAAATTAAGAAGCTAATTATGTCATGAATGTATACAATACATGTAAATACTAGTCTATTTTATCACTTACTGCCATAAAATATGCACGTCTATTATTAAAAGGTAAAATTTAACAAAACTTACCTACTTACAGACCACACATGGCACCATTCTCAGTCAAGAGAAATGTAAACAAATGTAAAGATGCAGTCTTAAACTGTAACTACATAAAATTAACTATAGTACATAGTGCACTGTTAACGTAGCCACTTCCTGTTGTTACCGTAGTGAGCTTAAGTGTTGCAAATATCTGCTTAAGACGTGTGTGACACTAATCATCCCTGCTTCAGCAGTTCACATCCAGTACATCTGGTATCCCAGTAAGATGGAAAAAGTGATTTCTTGCAGTTTTTGTGGTGTTTTTCACCATGTTTAGTGCAATACTGTAAACCTTGAATCCCACCATGGGACCCATATGAAGTGCCACTACTGATGCTGGAAGTGCTCCCAAGAAGCAGAAAAAAAGTCATGACATTACAAGAAAAAGTTGAATTGCTTGATATGTACCATAGATTGAAGTCTACAGCTGTGGTTGCTGCCACTTCAGACAGATGGTTCATCTCATATGTAAATAAAGTAAAAAACTTACAATATCAATAAATACAGTAAATATATTTTATCATCCTTATCATTTTTTCTCTCACTTACTTGATTGTAAGAATACAGTATATAATACATATAACATAAAATATGTGTTATTTGGCCGGGTGTGGTAGCTCACGTCTGTAATCCCAGCACTTTGGGAGGACGAGGCAGGCGGATCACAAGATCAGGAGATCAAGAAAATCCTGGCTAACATGGTGAAACCCTGTCTCTACTAAAAATAAAAAATTAGCCGGGTGTGGTGGCGGGCGCTGTAGTTCCAGTTACTCAGGAGGCTGAGGCAGGAGAATGGCGTGAACCCGGGAGGCGGAGCTTGCAGTGAGCCGAGATCGCGCCACTGCACTCCAGCCTAGGCGACAAAGTAAGACTCCATCTCAAAAAAAAGAAAAAAAGAAATATATATATATGTGTGTGTGTTATTTGGCTACCTGTTATCAGTAAGGCTTCTAGTCAAAAGTAGTTTATTAGTTGAATTTTTGGGGAATCAAGTTATATGCACATTTTTGACCGTATGGGGAGTCAACACCCAATCCCTATGTTGTTCAAGGGTCAACAGTATATACCAAAGGTTGAACCATAAGAAACAGTGGGGCTGGGCACAGTGGCTCACACCTGTAATCCTAGCATTTTGGGAGGCTGAGGTGGGCAGATCCCATGAGCTCAAGGGTTCAAGACCAGCCTGGGCAACACAGAAGACCTCGTCTCTATTAAAAATACAAAAAATCAGCCAGGTGTGGTGACATGCACCTGTAGTCCCAGGTATTATACTTGGGAGGCTTAGGCTGGAAGATCACTTGAGCCTGGGAGGTTGAGGTTGCAGTGAGCTAAGATTGTACCACTGTACTCCAGCTTGGGTGACAAGTGAGACCCTGTCTCAAAAACAAAAAACAAAAAGCAAAAAACTGTAGAATATTAGCAATTTCATGTGGTTTAACATATGTAAAACTATGTTAATAGATACATATTATAAAACACATGTTAAGAAAATGAGTTAAAAATGAACTGTATACCAAAAAGCATGTAAGAAGATGCTTACTAATGATTAGGGAAATGCAAATCCAAATCACATCATCTCATACCCATTAGGATGGCTGCTATGGAAAAACAGAAAACAAATGTTGGCAAGGATGTGGAGAAACTGAAACCCTTGATCACTGTTGATGGGAATGTAAAATGGTACAGCTACTACAGAAAACAGTACAGCAGTTCCTCAAAAAAAAAACTAACTACAGGCCAGGCGCGATGGCTCACACCTGTAATCCCAGCACTTTGGGAGGCCGAGGCGGGTGGATCACCTGAGGTCAGGAGTTCAAGACCAGCCTGGCCAACATGGCGAAAACCCGCCTCTAGTAAAAGTACAAAAATTAGCCGAGTGTGGTGGCATGCGCCTGTAATCCCATCTACTTGGAAGGCTGAGACAGGAGACTAGCTTGAGCCCGG